AAACGCTGATACCATTGTCGACACTGGCTTTCTGACATGGCTTCTTCACCGTATACTTCAGATATGGCACGATGGGATTCAGCAGCCGATTTTCCTTACTTGAAGTTGTACCACATGAAAGCCCGCAAAAGGAATTTTTGGGCAAGCACCTTTTAAAATTTTTTTTCTTAGAAAAAACAAAGTAGAGATAGCCAAAAACATATCAAAAGATGCACAATGAAAATCTCGCTCTAATAGGCGAAACCTTTTTGAAAATCCTCTTATGGTAGGGGAGAAATGAATGGACAAATTCAACGCGCATTCCTTTCCGAACAGCTTAATACCATGACATCGAACCTCCCATGACCACCTTCTATGAGGTGGTGAGGATAAAATATGAATTTTAACATAATTTACCTCATGCAACTCATCGTGTAAGCCAGATATTCAATGCGCCCATATGATCCTGAGTGGAGTCAGAATATCGAGGCGCATACCAGAAATAGATTAAATCTATATGTATTCCTCGGGGTACGAAGTGTGCGCGATTCAGAGGAGAGGAACTATGGCTTTCATGACAGACATTTTGGGTTTTTTCTAACGGTAGAAGCACTTCATGTTTTCTTTGTTTTAAAGAGATAACTCTGGGAGCGATTCTTTATTTTCAGTCTGAATCACATTATATATCGTATTACAGGACGAAATCAAATGGTGGAATCCGAACAACTACACAATTTTTCCTGTGACAGACCCTCCTGTTACAGTTACAGAAACTGAACAGGCCTTCGGTCTACTGGTGGGTTGGAGGGTACCTGGCTTTCACTCTACTCTAATCAAATCATATCCTTAAGGATCTCAAAGACAAGGGAGCCATTACGACGCAAACTAAGGAAAATTTGATCTTTCTCGTTGCCGCTCTTCCTCGGGAAATACGACGGAATCTCTCATACACGCTTAGCGAGTTCGTTCTCCGCTGTTCTTTCAACAGCAAAGATTGCAATATGGAACGGTTAGTGGTCTTGATCGCTTTCATGATTTGCTGTCGTACAGTACCACACTGTTTTTCAGTGATTTCAAGCTACACATCGACCCTGAATTCGGTAACTGTTATACTTTCAACTTCAACGATTCTGTCGAGCTGAAGAACAGTAGGGCAGGGCCCATGTATGGTCAGTGACAGCGTCTGAAAATGCGCCTCAGTTAATCCTAAAGGGTGGTCTCAGATGTGCAAAATAGTATTGCCTGTTTGTGGAGAGAATACACTTAGAGGGAGAAAGAAGGCTTCCATTTAAAGCCCAGATTACTGAAACCTGAATTTCTGTCGCTTCTGAGAGCGAAAAAAATCTTGCCTGCTTCTGCTACTAGAATTGTGGTAATACGTACTCTTATGGTAGTTAAATTCGTTCCCATCTTGGTTACTGTTCGGCTGAGTGGGGCGAGAATCTTAAACTAGGCATAGGTTGTCTTCAAAAAGTCTCANGCCTCAGTTAATCCTAAAGGGTGGTCTCAGATGTGCAAAATAGTATTGCCTGTTTGTGGAGAGAATACACTTAGAGGGAGAAAGGAAGGCTTCCATTTAAAGCCCAGATTACTGAAACCTGAATTTCTGTCGCTCCTGAGAGCGAAAAAAAGCTTGCCTGCTTCTGCTACTAGAATTATGGTAATACGTACTCTTATGGTAGTTAAATTCGTTCCAATCTTGGTTATTATTCGGTTGAGTGGGTCGAGAATCTCAAACTAGGCATAGGTTGTCTTCAAAAAGTCTCAGTTGAAAAGCATAGATATGGACTCAAACCTAACGTCCCGGTTTTGACTTGATGTTTTGTTAGCTGCTGTTGTTTCGCCGCAGTACGCGTTCCGAGAGTCTCACAAGGGTGGCGACTTACGGACAAAACTTCAGTCACGGACGGGATTCGGACTCGTACTTGTGCTTTCCGGGATCCCGCTTGCCCTTGCCTTCTTAGTGCTCTATCCCTTACACTGCTGAGATCCCGCTTGCCCTCGCCTTCTTAATGGATTTCCTGTTTGCTTGGTTATTACCTTAGTGAATCCGCTTCAGGTTTGCGTCTTCTGCTTGATGTTCATCAGGATGATTACATGCCAACAACAGAAGCGGCAGGTGTTCGTATTGTAGTTCATGAACAGGTTAGTCTTGTCTTAGAACCTCGCATTGCTACTGCATGGAAGTCCATGTGTAGTTGGTGTAGATCAGCTCCGTTCATGGAATGCGCTTTTGCCTCCTCAAGCATATTTCTTGCGTCACAAACAAGCGAAGTGCCTCTCATACTTTTAGGATCAGGAACCGTTTCCGGACACATTCGGCTACAGTGCACCAACAGGCTTCGTATCGTCGTTTGGACTAAAGACGGTAAAGTCCCTCTCATCGAGTCTAAGGGCTACAAGTTTCTTCTCTCTTTACTATCAAATGTGCCTTCGATTTGCTGTCATGCATGTAAAGACTGAGAAGTTTAGCTTAGCAAACCAAACAAGCCAGCTATCATATAACATTAAAAAACAACATTAGGATTAGAATCTAATATCGCGATACTGACCCAAAGAACTCAAAACGTAGTCTTCATGTTGACGAGCAGATGTGATACAATAGGCTTACTGCGAGAAGCCACTACTTTCCTGCCGTTTTACTCTCCAATATAGGTCGCACAGAAACTTCATCGAATTTGGGTAGACGCTATCCTCATTCCCCAAACATTGCGGAACAAATCGATGTTCATGAGCAAGACAGCGTCTCCGATGTTCTACTCCTCATAGACAAAGAAGAGCTCATCAAGGATTTCGCATCATATGATGAAGGCTTCTATCTTCGAATCACTCGTTGACTGTTCATGGCACATGGCGCAGATGAATATACTCCCCATCCGAGGCCCTGACGCTATTT